TTGGGCAGTCACTCTCTCAGCTCCAGGATACAGTCAATGGCTAATCATTTCCTAAATCTTGCCAAGAAAACTGCAGGGACTAGTCCAGGCAGTTCCTAGAAGTCAACACTGAGTCTAAGGGGATAGGTCTCCCCGCCCCCATCAATAAAAACATCAATATCAGTAAGGAAGGACTTACTAGTTAGAACTTAATGTATATTGTGGAAACGTGTTTGTTGCACTATTTAAATCATAGCAAACAGTGGTGGAAACTTTAGATCAGGCATCTGCAGCATGCCACCCTTGGTGCTAAATCTTCTGTAAACAGCTCAGGTACAAAATGATTTAAAAAAAGAAAGAAAGAACTTGTCATCTTATAACATTGCTGGGAAGAGTTATTCTGTTGAGGCATGGTGGAGAAAGCCAGTCCCTGCTCTAGATTATAAGAACTAAGTGAAACAAACCGACTCAGTTTAGCCACAATTCAGTAAGTTAAATTCCAACTGTATCAAAATCCAAATTTGAATCTATAGAGATTTTACTTTCAGACATCTATGAGATTACACATAACTTTAAACTTAAGAAATAATAAATATAAACTCCAAATATGTGGGAAAAGGTATAACTTTAATATGTTTTTATACATTCTGTCTTATTCAGTGATAATTTATAATTACCTAACTACTGTATATTGACACCATGCCATATTATTACTTGAATTACTCAGATTTACTTCACAATGTACAATATGACTTCTCTAGTTCGCAGTCAACCTTAGGAAACAGTTTACCATTAAAATATGTAGATTATACGTAGGTTAAAACATAATTCCCTACAGAAAATTCCATAATTTTGTTTGAAACCTTATTTTTAATTTTCTGCCATCTAAGTATTTTATTTTATTTTGGTATACTTTCTATAGTTATGCTATAAATATGCCTATCTTATATTTTACTCTGAATGGGTATTTGTATGAGTGTGATTAATGAATGTATATGTATATGTGCAGGTTTTAAGGCACTATTTCTCTACCTCAACAACTTTAAGATGTATTGGGGGGGGTGTTAAAGTCCACACATCTTAAACTTACCAAAGTAGAGAAACATAGTTTTAATGGGAAAAATTATACAATTGAGAAGTGGCATGTCAGGTGATCTATCGGCTATATAGAAATACAAAACAAACCTTTCGGCTAACCAAGGTCAGTAACCCCGATAGAGGGCAGTGCAGAATCACTCTTAGGAACCTCCATGCCATGTTAATCCTAAACCACTTAGATAGACCTAAGTTGCAGAGTGACATATAAAAACACTCCAAGGCTGTTCTCCTGTAGAATGAGGAACAGCAGCACACGAGAGCTGCATCTTTGGGTGTGATTCAATTTAAGATAATGAGGCTAATTCAAGTCCTCAGTGGTTTGCATGACTGCTGCTGACCCATTTCATAGAAGGCTCCTGTGGCCAGCTCATCATTCGTGCCGCATCCGCAGACAGCAGTAGTCTTTGCAAATATGGCTGAAAGGGTTAATTGACTGAAACACTGCTGTATCCAGACTTCTAAACTGAAACCATGTGTAAATGAACGGCAAGATTTCATTCAGCCTCTGAGTCATGTCTTACAATCCTTAAAGCTCCAAACAAGGCATTTCTGGGAGAGGATTATGAAGCCCCAACAATCATTGGCCTAAGTCAGAACAATCCTTTCCCAAAACAAGTAACTAAAAGAAGAAGGTGTATACTCACAGTTAAATGTGATTTCCCCTTCTGATGCTACATTGCAAAATATTTTTAAAGTTCCCAACTTTTATCGCTTCTGTATGTAGGGTTGCCAGGTCTGCTTCCAAAAAATAGTGGACAAGCGGGGGGGGGGGGTGTTAAGTAGTAAAAAAAGTAGACTGTACAGCTTTAGATTACATACCATTTCATCATAAAGCTTTTGAATAAAAAAAATGTCCACTATTTTGTGAAAAAAAATAGTGAACATAATGTGAAAAAAGTGGACTGTCCACTCAAATAGTGGACACCTGGCAACCCTATCTGTATGGCAGTGGGATAGTCAGATCACTTGAGAACTCTCTTGTAGAGAATATTTTTAAATGCATATGTCTATAATATATTAATAAAAATAGTTTGGAAGAATGTTTAGAGCAGGAAATAAAATGCATTCATCATCCACATATCTCTCCATTTTTAAAGTATAGAGACAATTCATGTATTGAATTTGTAAAATTTGAATTTATTTTTAATACATTTTCCAGAGGTGTAATAACTGAGTATTATAATAATCTCTCTTCCAATTTCAGGTTAAAAGAAGTTTGGCTGAACTTTCATAACATTTTCACTCTTCAATATTAATATGAGCTATATTCTAATTGACCATGATTTGTTGCTGTTGTTGTTTGCTTGCTTTGTTTTTGCTATGGTTTGACAAATTATTCAGTGCATATTGGACCTTTCACATGTACCCAGAAGCTTGGAAACAAGCTGTTCAGAATAAGGTATTTGGAGAAAGAGACCTGTCCTTTTGTGGACATCGCATGCTATTTTGTCATGCAAATGGCAAATTGTTAGCAGAAGCGGCAGCAAATTTGGAATCCAGATACATATCTGTATGTGTCTGTGAGTTTGAATTCTATAGGTGCCACTTCCCTTGTAATGCCATAAATTTAAATTGAATCCACTTATTTTGTCTTCAGTTGGGCAAAAGAGATGATGGGAGATTAGTACAATAAAAATATTGATTCTAATTAATTGTTGTTGATAATAACATCAATATTTCCTCCTATACCTCAGTAGCCAACATCAATATTTCCTCCTAGTCAGCTCTCTCTCTCTCTCTCTCTCTCTCTCTCTCTCTCTCTCTCTCTCTCTCTCTCTTAAACTGTCAATGGTTGGTTCATTCTTTACTCTAAACATGTACATTTTGTTTTGTACTTTCTGCTCTTGAAGTCAGAAACCAGACTGGTTTTCCCTGAAGGGACAACAGAAGTCAGTGAAACCACATAAGCGATCAAAACAAGCTTATATTGCACCGCAGCTCCCGCACTTACTGTGTAATTGGCCTAACATCACATTTGTTTAGACACAGAGCCTATAAAGACTAAACTTGGTAACCATGAATGGTCTCATTGAGGTCAATAGAATTTACATGGTAGGGTTGTTAAACATGTTTACAAGCGTGTGTGATCTGAGCCTTGGTAAATTATTGTAACTGAGTAGAGGATTCCACAAAGTTTAAAAATAGTTTTTGGCTATCTGATTTGCACTTGTGGATAAGTTTTAAAAGGCTTATCCTTGTAAGGCAGATGCAGTATTGTGTGTATTTTTTTTAATCTCTTCAAGCAACAAACGTTAGTTAATTTAAAAAACAAAACAGGTTCACCTATTAAACAAGTCTTACTACTTTCGGTAAGACTTTTGGCAGTTTTGCTTTAAGTGAATATTCATTTCCCAATGTAATTTTAATGCACCTTCTCTAGGTCTGATTCAAAAACAATTTCATTTTTAAAGCCATGTCATTGATTTTATATTCATGTAAAAGCAATGTTAAGGAATTAAATAAACAAACAGCTGTAGTATATTTTAACTCAATCTTCTTTAATTTTTATTGGAAGTATTTCTTATAGAATGTCTAGTTATTTCTAGAGAGTGCCAAGTTGAGAAAAGCTACCTTAATTCCTTTCATTATTTTTAAAATTTTTAAAAATGGGGTTTTACCACAAAATGTTGTCATTTTTTTCTAATTCCAGTTATTATAAGTTTGAAACTTTAACTGCCATTCTGTCAAATTTTTCTATGCATTCATTTGAACAAGGCCATCAAATTTTAGAACCACATGTGAAATAAAATCCACAACTGTGTGCTCCTAATAGTTAAGATCACTTCTTTAGATTTTACTTCCTTTGTTTAACATTTTAATTTGAAGTTTAAAATCAAGCATAACCATTAAATTCTCTGAGCTCGATAACCTGATAAATAATCATTCAGTTCAATATCTTAGCATGAGCACCAGCAATTGTTTTTTCAGATGTGATTTGAAATAAAAGGTTAAAGTTACCCACAACTTTGCAGACCATTCTACATTTTAAAGGTCTTTCATAATTTTATTCTGCTTTTCTCTTAAATGGTGAATGTCAGTTACAGTTCACAAGAGAATTTTATGGTTTATCATGGTAAGAATTTAGGATGTTAAGGTGTTGGATCTATACTGAGAAGACCCAGATTGAATACTTTGGTGATCATGGAACACACTGGTGATTTTGGACCATTTATTATCACTTACCATAACTTGTCCATGTGGTAGCTACTGGGAAAAAAATGGAGTAAGAATACTATGTATGCAGCTTTGAGTTCCTCAAAGAAAAGCTATAAATCTAACAATAAGTATTAAATCTATAACCATAAAAGATAAATTATTCAGCACACTTTAGCTTGGATTTGGAAATAGCCAATGAAATTCAATACTTTTTGTTTGCTTGCTTTGAGAATGAAAGCAATAACAACATATATATGCATTAATTTGCATATTAAAGAGCTATTCTTTGGCCAATACATTTAAATGACTTTCAGATTTGCTACTGGATTCTGCATGCGTATGCATCCATAATGATGCTAATTTTGGCTTGCATCAGAAAAGCAAACAGTTAACAGATAGGATATTGCTACTGTGATATTGCATGCTGATTTTTTTCTAGTGAGATTCATTTTTATTCTACATATGTGGCATTGCAATGATAACTATTGAAGTTGTATTCTCGTACATTAAAAATTATGTTTATATACAGTAGATTTCCATGACCGATCATATGAATGCTATCATTAATAAACTTTAGCCAGTCTAAGTGGCAGTAATCCAACAAAAACAGGTACTTTTTCAGTGAGAAATCAGTCTTTGCAACTCATCCTAGATGCCTGTTGGGATCCAACACAGGGAAACTATAAATGAAAGTCTTACCTTTTCTTTATAATGAATATTATAAAGCAACGTTTTATTTCAAATCCTCATGTTCCTTTAATTTTCAGCATGTGAGACAGAAGCAGGCAAAGTTTGCCAGTTTTCATTAGAAGAACACATCCAGCCCTTTAAAGACAACATGGACAAATTCATTAGTCAAGGTAAATAATGACTAGTAATTTAACCTTTCCAAGCTTTATCACAAGAATGTTGTAGAAACAATATTTAGACATGGTGAATGACGTGTCTATTTATTTTGGAGCCATAGAAATGTGCAGATTAGCTTAATCAGAGGGTTTCTTATTTCAAAATAGCTTACCTGTTCTGTGCTCCCTTTCTGAATGTTATTAGTGGCCATTGTTCACTAAGAAAGTTTTCTGAGTTCGTATTCTGTGTAGGAAGCAATTTTCCAACATTTGTTTCTTGACAGTTTCATAAACTGGTGCCTTGACTTGTGTCCAGATACATGGTGATATTTTTCAAAGGGCCTATAAACTTCTGGGTTATTTCATTTGCAGATTGCCTCTGGACAGTCATATGTTTTGGAAACAAAATCCAAAGCATTTTCTAAAAATGTCCAGGTCACGTTCAGGAAATATAAAAAGAATTGTGGGTTTGTAGGACATAGTTACTTTTTCACCTTCATTTCATTTTTTTTCAGTGATTGATCTTTATCATGTTTTTGTGCAGGCACAATATCTTTTAGGTTATTACATGCCTACATAAACACATGCACAAATACTCACAAATTATTTAAGGAAAAAAAGGGACCTCTTCTTTGGAACTAAGTTAGAAAGACTTTCTAGTGTCTTTAGTAGTGATATACCATGAAATTCTCAACAAATATACTATCAGTATTCTTCCAACCCTGAATCTTCATGGACTTTGAAGAAAAAGTCCAGATACAGATGATACAGATGAGGCCTTTCTATAGCAGGTGACTAGTCTTTCAATTGTGATAATGGAAGCTTTAAATTATTCTGACATCTGCTGACTCTGCCAAGAATCAGAAGACCGACAAATAACAGAATAATGGAGTTGGAAGCGACCTTGGAGGTCTTCTAGTCCAACCCCCTGCTCAAGCAGGAAACCTTATACCATTCCAGACTTGTGGCTGTCCAAACTCTTCTTTAAAGCCTGCTGTGAAGGAGCACCCACAACTTCTGAAGGCAAGCCATTCCATCGGTTGATTGTTCTCATTTAAAAAAATTCTCCTTAGTTCTAGGTTGCTTCTCTCCTTACAGTCATTAGTTTCCATCCATTGTTTCTTGTCTTGCCTTTTGATGCTTTGGAAAATAGGTTGACCCTCCCTCTTTTTTATGACTTTTCATGGCCCTTAAGTTATTCACCAGTTGACATAATCTGAGTTTGGGAATAATTCCTGGTTTCCCTGCCATGTCGCCTTCACTGTCTGCCAAGGCTCTAAACTGATTTCCATGCTTCCCTTTACTTATCTGTCACAGTTAAAGAAACAATAGAAGCCCCAATGGAAGGAAAGTGTTTTTTTCCCCCCAATTGTATCATCTCTCCATCTGATTTCAACTCTTTCCCTGGCCTCTTCTCCCCCCAGTCCCCTTAGAAAGATTCCTCTTGGCAGTTTTTCCCACCTGGAAAAACCCTGTTAAGGACATGGATGTGCTGCTTGGAAAGGGAAGCAGTGATCCTATATACGTCTTTCTTGTCAGCTAATTCTCCCCTGCAGATGTCATTTCCATTTAATATCTTTCCCAGCAGAGTATTAGTAAAAAAAAAAAAAAAGGTTTGCCATGTAGGAGATGTATGGCCAAAAACTTTGGTTAATTTCTGTAATTAAAGTAACATTATATAGCTTGGAATATAAAATCCTCTCGTTTTTATTTGGCTGGACCAAATTCAAACTTGAAAGAGTTCGTGTAGGATTTCTCTTTCTTGCTGAGAACTTGATAGGCTTTAATTGCAATAGGTTTTCTATGGTCATTTGTTATTGAGGTCGATTTAATCAATGGGTTGCTTCCGCAAGACTGGACACATAAAGACAATGTAGAAGAAGCAAAACAAGGAGAGCCTGCAGAGCACGGCTTCTGAAATTCTTTCCAAGCCCTTCTTAGCAGGCCCGCCCAGGATCACATGATCAAGAGGGAAGAGGGCTTCGGAATGGAGCTGCCAGCAGTATTCCAAGTTGTTGTCCAACCACCTCTCCCATAGGACTGAATAGGGGGGGAATCTCTGCAGCCTCTAACTGGATCCAGTTCATTTTTTGAACTTGATATTTCTTTTGCTGGCGTCTCCTCCACACAAAACTAGGACTTGCTCTTTTTGCTTTGGGGGAGATTTATCGTGCTGACAGATTGACAATTAGATTTTGAGCACCTTGATGGCATTTCTTTCCAAGGGGAAATAAATAAAAAGGACAACTTTGAAGATTTGTTTGTACAGGATGTATTCAGGAAAAGTTTTCAAAACAATTTTTGAAGTTTAATTTCTTAAAATTAACATTGAGTATGTAGTTCTCCAATATGCAATTCATAGATTAAATATTTCCATTAAAAAAAAGGCAAATCAAGCTGTTTACTTGTTTTTTGGTACACAAATTCTTCTGCTCAATCTAACTTTCTTTGCATTGCCTCGTCTATTGGTTGGAAGTAGTTTCACAAAAATCTTAAAAGAAAAGGATTTTTAGGACATAAGGAGTTGGGTTACAACTAGCAATAACAACCACTGCCTTGAAAATAGTTTGCTTCCAGATATGTTGATGAAGCTTCTCAGTCATCCAGGTCTGGCAGCTGAACTTATTTTCTTTGTTTCCAGACAATCTTCCAATCTAATGCAGTCTCAAACCCCACGTATTTAATGCAGACATAGTTCTAAGTCACATACAAAATGATCAGTTTTATAAACTTTTATATAAACTTTATAAACTTCTGTCCCAAAGGAATCTTGCCAGAACTGGAATGATTTTTGCCCCAGATATCTGTTAATTCCCAACAGATAACCCTATAGGGAAAAATTAGGGCTAGTATACCTGGACTTCCAANACAAGGCAGCAAATTAGACTAGAAAGTCTCCCAGGTCCCTTCCAGCCCTATGATTCTATAATTTATTTTATATCTAGTTAAATGTTCTGTGTTCTTCCTTTTTGATATAGTTGTATTAAAGTACTAAAAATAAAACGTCCTAATTAAAATAAGAAAAATTTCTAAATGTCTGAGTCCTAGAACTGTAATGAATCATATATACTCAAGTAGTCCTCAATTTACAACCAACATTGGGACCACAACTTTGGTTGCTAAAGGATGTGGTTGTTAAGTCATTACATGATTTTACAAACATTTTCAATCTGATTGCTAAGTTAATCACATGGTCATTAATATATGTATTACATATAAATACATTGTAATATACATTGCTCCAGGTATGTGCAATATTTTAACACTCCTGTTTAAAGTGCTGTATTAATTTTAAATGTGGAAATTTCACATTATTCATCCTGCAAAACTTTAACCACTTATCCAATTTTTTTTAAATGAACTGTGTGAGATGTTTGAAATATGGCCAAATTTTATCATGTAAGCATTCCTTAAATGTAGCACACAAACAAGGAAAATCAAAATCAGTAAACATGCAGAAATATTCAGACAAGGAGATGAAAAGACTCTTGCTGCATTCCCTCTTTTATTATTATTCATACCTAGTTTAATGTTTAGTTACTCTTAAGTTCAAGTAGACTGACAGTACTCCAGACATCAGTTGATTCCAGTTGCCATTGATGCTAGTCAGCATGGCTACCTAACAGAGATGATGGGAGTTACAATCTGAATTCATCCGGAAGATTCCAAGATCTCAGAATGTTTTCTATACCTTTGTATTTAAAGAGAATGTTGATTTCTTCTTTTTTATTTTAATAATGGAATTTTCATTTTTTGAAAATGAAGATTATAAAGAGACTCAGGACTTTTTCAGGACAGTTATACAAGTTACTCAACAGATGTGTGTAATAATTTCCTTAACCTAATTAAAAACTTTAGTAAAAATAAGATTTGGTTTCATCACTATGGGGAATTCTTTATATTCCATTGGAGAGCTTTGGCTTCTATGGACTTGTTCCATACATGTTGTAAGAAAAGAAGCAATCTTTAACCTTTTTCTCATTAATTTGATTTGTCACTTTTTCCATCCGTAGTGTCTTTCTGAATCCAGTCCTTAGTTTAGTCAATGAGGCAGCTTTTTCATTGAGAAATAATTGTCATTCTTACAGTTGAAAGTTCATGAAACAACAATGAAACTTTTGGTCTCCAAGAACATTCAGCAAAGCCACTTTTAGCTCTAATGCAGAATTTTTTTTTACTTCAAGCTAAACATACTTTCTTTCAAGATACCTATATTTCAACAGTTATTCATCACAAGCCTTTCCAGTATCAGTTGCCTTTATTAAGAGATGAGATCCAGTAGCCAAGTAGCTAAGCAGCATGAATGTGGCACTGAGTATCAAAAACTGTTGGCTGCCTTTTCTCTAGTTATTTCTATACATAGTTTTGTGTCATCTTCCCATCTCTTGCAAGAGTAAGACATGTGCCATAGGACTGTTGGTGGCAATCACTTGTCTACATTGGCTCATTGGCTTCTCATTGTTCTGTATAATATTTTGGACTTGTTAGTACTTGTGCAGCTTTTACCTACAGAGAAAAGGTATTTACCCATGTTCTCTGTTTCTACTTCCATTTTTACCCTATGTCCCACACGACAATAAAGAGATTGACAGTGCTGGATACTGCTTTCATATTCTAGCCCTCCTCATCTCCAAGAGGCTTACTCTTGAAAAGATTTTTTTTTATGTAATGTCCTAAGGGGAAAAAAAATAGAGATACATCTTTGGATCATAGGATTGAAAGAGACATTGAAAGTCTTCTCATCCAATATCCTGTCTAGTGCAGGAACATTTGTCTGTTTTGCTTGATTTAATTTTTTATGGTATAATGTTTTATTCGTTTTAGCAAACTAGTTGAACAACATTCCATATTTCATGATTAAAAACTAAAATTCTAAAGTTTGTATAAATCACATTTATACAAGATTATACATTCTTGGAATAAGCAAGAATGAAAAAAAAATGCTGCCAATTCAAGTGGCTCCTTCAGAACTGAACAGGTTTGGCAATGAATTCTTAAGTATTTGATACTCGAAAGATTAAACCTCTGGTCCTGGGGATCAATCCAAATTGGATCCTGCAACATTATCCTGTGACACGTATAATTGCCTTCATTCTAGGTATTCATTTATGTCTTATGTCTGTAGTGACATTCGCTAATATATCTTCCTATACAAGGAATTTTTTTAAACAGTTTTTCACCAATTGTATCGATGCCAAGGAGATGCACTGCTTTTGTGATAAAGTTAAGCATCTGTACTTGAGAAATAGTTGCAATTAAGCCTTAAAAAAAAAAATATGCCTCTGCTCAAAGGATAATTATGTAATGGTTTACCCAGTTCAAATTTATTTGGCTCCAGGCCCAATTTCGGTTAGTGTTAAATTGCAGGCTTGGAATGAAATGAAATGGTTGTGAAGCTAATGTTATGTTTCTCCTGCTGTCCAACCCCAAGAAGCATGTTTGTGAGCCTTGACTTAATTGAGTTTAACATTGACTATTGTGGATAATTTAATGGGAAAATTCAGTGCCTTGTCATCAAACCCTATGTCTCCATGGGTTGTAAAGTCAATATGATGAAAATGTGTGGACTCATACATCCAGACTACCTAAAATTTGGATCTCATTTCCATGAATTAACAAAGCTTTGTCCTTCTCTATCCCTTGTCAACTGTTCTTAGCAACAAAAAGTGGCCAAGTTTCTATTTATTTTAAAACCTTGGTATTTAAAAGTGGATTTAGTCATTTTTCAATTTCTCTTAAGCATTTTGTCTAATGATGGGGTGTTGAGATGAAGATTGGTATTTGAAAAAAAGAAAACTCTATGTAGTATTAATAACAGAGTGATCACTTTAAACTGCTACAGACAAGTGCTACATTCATACACCAGCATGCTCTGAAGCAGCTTTCAGAGATCAAATTCTAAGCATTACACAATCCTAACAACAACAACAACAAAATCATTGAAGGAAAATGACGAAGAGGACGAAAACCTCTGTGAAACCTTATATTGATATGATGTAGACCTCTTCAAGTTAAATTAACACTTAATTTAATTTAACTTAATCTAAGTTTTAATGGTAGATATAGTAGTTGAACTTTGATGGCTCTAATATTCTGTTGTCCTATTTAGTTTAACCATTTCTTCAGGTGTCTTGGAACAAGTGTGCAGCAAATTCTCACTAACTGCAGTCAGCATATCTATAAGCAATATTTTTCAACAAACTTGATTTTCATCCTTTTATTCAGTTTCTAATCATTTTTATAATTCTTAAATAAAAGGAAAAATAAACCTGCCCAGACTGGCTTTTTTCCTGCTTTTATAAGCAGCGTGCTTCGTCCATCTCCCTGTATCTGGGGTCAAGTGAACCATCACTTTCCCTCTTCTCTACTGATACACAGAGAGCCTACGATATGCTGCCCATATCATAGGCTCATAGATGCCCACAACATATACTGATGATGGGGGGGGGAGGAATGTAGAATGTGCAGTAATTAGCAACTTTCTTTTTGTTTCATGTGGAATAGAAGCTGGTGAATTTTTCCAGAACTTTGTTTTATTATTAAAAAGAAATTCAGTTTGAGACTTGAAAAAAGAGGAAAAAAACTTATCTGCCGGAATTTTGGGGGAAATCTATTGGCTCAATCCTGTCTATTCTCAGTATAGTGAATTTGGCAGAACTGAAGATTGTGAAAGACAATGAAAGTTGAAAATGGTTTATAAAGAATTGGGGGCAATGGAGAAAACCTTTTGTCATGGTTCCGATTAATGAAACAATATTATTGCTTTGACACCTTTATATGGAAGTGCCTTCGGATATGCTCATTCCTACTGTGAGCTCAAGTGATCTTAAACTGTTTGTAAATGTATTAACTCTACATTTCATTATTTTAAAGTCAAGGCCAAGCTCATAGACTCAAGAATCATGAAAAAAACAACAACAAGATAATAGTTTTCTCCCTCAAAATATGTGCATGAGAACTTATTTAATAACATTCTTTATTTTACCTATAACTTTATTTCTGTTTGTTACTTAGCTAAAACTGACCATGAGATGGAAGAAAAATCTCTGGCAGAGACGCACAAAAGGTGAGATGAACAAATTTAATTTGAAAAGGTTTCCTTCAGTATCCAAATAGTTATCTTTGATTTTAGATAATGAAAGCAATCTTAAAGGGCTACCATGCAATCGTAGTTTATTTGAGATCTTTGGGTAGCCAATTTTCTCATATATTATTAAAGCTACAAGATTTAGGCTTTTGCTGAAACTACTACAGCACTATTCAAAGAATCCAAATAGAGTGGTTGTTTGCTTGAAACTGTGGGGATTTTTCTTCAGACTAAAAACAGATGCATTGCTCTTATTCTTTATTTTGGGCTCCCCACTACATACAAAGGAAAGGAAAAAAGATGGTATTAAATTATTAATCATACTGAAAATTCAACATTGCTTTAATGTGTCAAAGTAAGTTTGCAAAGAAGCCAGTGTTGTCTGTCTAATTCAGTAATGATGTAAGCATTCGCAAGAACTGAGGCTTTGAAGACTTTATAGTTGTTATTGCACAATTTCTTTTCTCTTCGTTTTTGCAATGTGGCTTACTTTCAGAACTGGTTTTAGTAGCAAATGGAAATTTTTTAAGAAATTTCCATTGCTATAAAAGCCAAATCTTAAAATCCATGTTTTCCAAATCCAATGGAAATGACAGAACTGCCAAATTTTGAATCATGGCTTTACAAAATTAAGTATTTATATATGCAATTATCTACTGCCTAAGAACAAACAGTTTCTAGAAACGTTAGGAACACTAGAGAACATCCTTAGGGAAAAAAACAATTTATTCCTACTACAAATATCCTAATTAGACTAGGAATGTTTCATTGAATTAAATAGCTTTGAATTTACTCTGGTTGTAGCTGTGATTTTTTCCATTATTTGCTTTATGTTTGTTAGTAGTTTAAATACCTCAGTGCTTGTCTCAGTCTTTTTCTCACTCTATGAGCGGTTGGACAAGGCTGAATCTCAATATTTTTTTTAATTTAAGTGTTCATTTATTGGGCAGGCAAACTTAAATAACTGTTAAACTCTACCAGCTACTTAAAAGACTTCACTTAGAGGAATTGTATGAATAGGCACAAGGAAGAAACTGTGTGGTCTTGAAGACATGGGCCGCATAAAGTCGTTGAGTTCTTATATCCTTGATTGATTATAGTCACATTTTTGCAGATTTAGAGTTGCCCTTCGAAAGATATGCCTTTCATGTGTAACGAGAATTGGCTATTAGAATACACTAAAGGAAGGGGAAGAGAGAGGTCAATCTCACCTTTTTTATATGAGGATATTTCAATTATTGCATTTATAAAATTATTGCAGTAGTGCTTAAGAATTTGTTAAAGCATCTTTTGATGGACAGTTAGGCAATCTCCAATTTGCCAGTATGTCATTGTTGTTTAGAAGTAGCCCTGAAGCTGCAGGTTGATTTTGGTTTTCTATTTCTAACCATCTACTTTGCCTTTTTTTTTTTTTACTGAAACCATACTATTGACAAGAACAACATAACATGCTGTAATTTTCTAAATACTTTAGAATGTTATCTTACTGAACTCTGTGATAAATCCATTGTTATGTGATCAATGTCTAAATACATAACAGGATTTTGCCAGCTCCCCTTCTTCCAGCTCATGCTCTCCCCATATATTTCAGCTAGTAATTTCAGTTTATTTCTAGAGCAGATTTTAAAGATACAAGAAAAAACGAATTTCTCTGTGGAAATTAATTCACAGAAATATAACTTTGGATTCCATCCTATAATACACATGTATGCGACTGAAACATTTAGAGACAAAAATCTTCCACAGATTGTAAAGCAAAATGCATGTCATCATGAATATGCTTTTTTTTAAAAAAAAAAATACAACTATCTAAGTCTTTAGCTTGCTTTGTATGTATGAGCTTTCTGAAATTTTTTAGCATTTCATATTGCCAACCAACAGAAGGGCAATCTGTTAGTATAATAATTTTCTTTGTAAATTATGTGGTGTAGAAAAATACTTCTTTATATTGCCACAGTAAATTGGGTTGCTTTTTTCTTCCTCTAGGGTATATGTGCTGTCAAAATTTTATTTACCATTCAAACTATGTCAATGTCAAAGACATTTTTGGGGTGGAGGGTGAGAGGAGAGCTCAAGAAAACTAAATAAATAAGAGATTAGTTGCATTCTGCTAATCATGGGTAAAATAGCTAGGCACTGGGTGAATAGACAAGTTGCTGCTAGCTGCAGTGATGGATTAGCTGAAGCGCAATTAATGTGATTTAATGTGATTGGATTTTTCTTTTTGAAGTGACTATGTGCCACAGAGTGTCTATGTCATGATTACATGTCTTAGAATGACAAGGAAACATCGATTCATTGTTTGAAATGGAAAAATGGTTTTACAACGCTGCCTCTCTATGGCATTGTAAAGCCAAGCAGCCATGAAAGAAAATGAAATAGCTAAAAAATTCTTCAAGTGGATACTGCTTTAAGCACAATGCTTCTAGAATAATCTTATTGTTTATCAGATGAGCTGAAATGGAAAATTAATCTTTCACACATAATGAAATGGTATGTCTGACCTGTGGATTCTATAAAATCTCCGGCTGTTCATTTGTCAGAAGTGAGATGTTTAATAGTTTCTGAAAGGCTATATACATTTTTATTTATTTATCATATTTAGTGACTTTAAGACCGACAATGTGTGAAGTGTTTATTCAAGAAATGGGTTTCTGGCATACGAGCAAAAAGAAAAGTGAAATGTTTACTTCCCAATAACAGCACATTGTGTGATCTCTGGGTAAGGATCCTGAGACAAGAAAAATACCACACCATTCTGTGTTTATCCAGTTTACACAGGCAGACAAGGAAGGCTCCAGCCTGTTATTAAAGTTGAAGTGATACAGCCCCAAACAATGACGTCAGTCCCTGAATAATATTGATAAAGTGCAAGAGCAAAAGATATGACACTTCCCAATTTCAGCTTTCATGGGCAGTTCTCAAGAAACCATAAAATATTTGACACAGTCAAGTGAAAAATACAGCTTGCTTCAAAAGGAGACACAAGAGTGTCTCAGGCATAAACATTCACAATTTTCAGTGAAGACAGAAACCGTTTTTCAAGATCTCAGCCCCAATTCTTTTCTCAGTCATTCTATGTGAGATCCTTTTTTAACAAAAATAGGACTGGCATGGGTGGAATCTGCTATCTTTTGTAACAAAAATGTGCGTCCTTTTGCTCAGTGACAACCCAATTGCATGAAACTTGATGTGTGCATAATCAGCACCATTTCTCTAATTTTCGGGGGATGTGTATGGAAATCCCATTTTTAGGGGGGGGAAATGAAAAAGTCTTTACTTTCCTTCTGGATAGCTGAGGTCTTCAACATTCTGTGCAAAAGCTATGTAAGTTTTGGCTGGAACAATTGGAATCTCAAATTAAGGTAACATCTGGCCTAAAACAATTTTTTTTTAAAATCACTTCATTTGTCTATCTCACTTTCTTACTTACCCTTTAAATTTTAGATACAGCTAGTTTTTGACTTATAACCACAATTGGGACCGGAACTTCCATCATTAAGCCATGTGGTTCTTAAGTGAATCACGGCCAATTTTGCTATCTTTTTTGCCATGTTCATTAAGCAATTTACACAATTGTTAAGCCAATCCAGGCTTCCCAATGACTTTGCTCATTGGAAGCTGCCTGCAAATGGTGACAATATGACCCTGGGATACTGCATCTGTTGTAAATACATGCCAGTTGCCAAACACCCAAATTTCGATCACGTGAAGAAGGGAATGTTGTAGCAGTCGTAAGTGTGAGGACTGATCATAAGTCGGGTTATTCAGCACCGTCTTAATTTCAAACAACATTAAACAAATGATCATAGGTCAAGGACAATTACTTATATTGTTTGAGATGTCACTTATTATTTGAGCTTCCATTTTTAAAAAAGAAATTTGTAAGTAAACATTTATCTGACTTGGATTCTGTTTGGAAAAAAAATTGAAGAGTCTATATCTGATGGAGGCAAGGAGGTAGATGGGAAACCAGGAAAATGAACACAGGCACCTGTATGTATGTGGATACATTGCAAAGTAAAAAGAGAAGCTCACATATATATTTCAAGGTGAAACATGGGATTCTGTGTTGCATCTTTGTGTGTCTTGAAAGTTTGTATTTCATAGTAATTTTTTTCCAGTAATCATGATGAATAATTTTACTGTCCTAGACTTTCTTTCCTATGGATCGTTTCTGTGTATGCTTTTCATTTTATGTGCTTCACTATTTTGTGCCGTTCCAGAACTAACTAGCTATTATTGATTGTAATGCACATACCGTATGTTCTTTCCTTGGCATTTGGCTGATATATAAAACATATACTATAATGGCCAATTCTGAAAAATGCATGATTATATCATAATACAGTCCTTTAGGTGTCTCTTCGACTGATTGTTTAAAATGATATGTGAATATTTTCCCATATCCAATGGTTCATAGGAGGTGCTGCCAGTTTCTTCCAGAGACTGATAAGCTTGAGCACTAACATGGCAAAGTATCTTCATTGGTGTTGTTGTTGTCCTTTTTTCTTAACTGGTCTGTGATGCAAATGCACATTACTCTGCTGGAGTATAGAAGTAGTAGCTGTGAGCTTCTGGTAATAAGAGTGGAGGCAGTTAGTTGTATCAGCAACAAAGCTTTACATCCCTATTTTGGAAACTTTTAGAAGGATCCATAGCAGACATACAAAAAAACTAAAATTACCAATGTTTATTTATTACATTTAATATAGCCATTATAAACCATTTTCACGCTTATTCCATGTTGTTTTTGTGATAAAAGAAAGAAATCTTAATATAGCGTCTGAAGACAGTCAACACTTATTTTTGGAGTAAAATTCAAACACACAGGCTTGATAAAGAGTTGGTGTTTGAAACTTCATTATAGTTCTCCTTAAGTAGATCAAGGAACTAGAAGAAGGTTTATTTAAGGAAAAAATGTCCTCTTCTGTCCCCCTTTTTTCATATTGCACCATCCAGGAAAGTTGCTTCATTTA